GGTTTGGTTTAGGTTTAGGGTTAGGTTTTTAGTTAGGTTTAGGTTACGTTTGGGGTTAGGGTTAGTGTGTAGAATTAGGGTTACATATAGGTTTAGGTTTAGGGTGTAAGATTAGGGTTAGGGTTAGGGTTAGGCTTTGCATTAGGGTTAGGGTTAGGTTGAGGTTGGGGTTAGGGTTAGGGTGTAGTATTAGGAATAGGATTAGGATTACGGTTTGAGTTAGGGTTAGGTTAGGTTTGAGGTTAAGAATAGGGTGTAGGATTATGGTTAGTGTTAAGGGTTCGGTTTTGAGTTAGAGTCAGGGTTAGGTTAGAGTTGTGGTTAAGGTTAGGGCATGGGATTAAGGTAAGGGTTAGGGTTAGGTTTTGAGTTAGGGTAAGGCTTAGGTTAGTTGGGGTAAGGTTTAGGGTGTAGGATTAGGGTTAGGGTTAGGTTTTAAGTTAGAATTACGGTTAGGTTAGAGTTTGGACTAGAGTTAGGGTGTAGGATTATGGTTATGGTGAGGGCCAGGGTTTGAGTTAGGGTGAGGGTCAGGTTAAGGTTTGAGTTAGGGTAAGGGTTAAGTTAGGGGTTAGGTTGAGAGTGTAGCATTAGGATTAGGGTTATGGTTAGGGTATGAGTTAGAGTTGGGATTAGGTTAAATTAGAGGTTTGGCTTAGGGTGTAGCATTAGGTTAGGGTTATGGTTAGGGTTTGAGTTAGGGTTAGGATTAGGTTAAATTTGGGGTTAGGATTAGGATGTAGGATTAGGGCTAGGTTTAGGGTTAGGGTTTGAGTTAGGGTTAGGGTAGGTTTGGAGTTTAGGTTAGGGTTTGAGTTAGGGTTAGTGTTAGATTAGTGTTAGGATTAGGGTTAGGGTTTGAGTTAGGGTTTGGGTAGGTTAGGTTTGTGTTGTTACTGTTAGGGTTAGGGTTTGAATTATGTTTAGGGTTAGGTTAGGCTTGGGGTTAAGGTTTATGCTTAGGTTAGAGTTAGGGTTAGTTTAGAGTTGTGGAAGGATTAGGGTTATCGTTTGATTTAGGATTTGGTTAGGGTTGGGTTTAGGGTTAGGCTTTGAGTTAAGGTTAGGATTAGGTTAGAGTTGGGTTTAGGGTCAGGGTTTAGGATTATGTTAGGGTTAGTGTTAGGATTTAGAATTAGGTTATGGTTAGGTTTAGTGTGTTTTGTAAATGTTAGAGGACTTTTGTTAAATCTCATTTTGGTTTAAAAGGGAAATAAAGCCTACCTTCCCTGAATTAATGGTAAGATAAAACTTATTATTTGAACAAGGAAAATTTTAAGAGTATGAGGGGAAACTATTACTAAGTATATGAAGATAACAGGCATTAAATTGAATCATTCCAAGAAAAAAAAATCATAAGAAAGTCAAACTCTTCACTGTGTCCTACCACTAACATATTTTTATACACTAAATATCACATTCCTAGTTCAGAATGATCCATGGGTTTACTGTACTGAATTTTACTTTACTTAATTATTTAAAAGGAGGGGGATACTATTTTTCTTCATTGCAAAATGTCAGTCCAAATGGGGGGTGCAGTTGTGTAGTACTGGAAGTGAACACCAGCTAAGGGACAGATGATCTATATTAAAATACCATATTGGCACTGTATAGTAATGATCTTGGAAAAAATATCTCTCTCTTGCATCTCAGTTTCATCATCTGTAAAATACGAACAATCATACCTACTTCAGAGTTATTAGTGGATCAAATGAGGTACCAAACTCATTGAGTGTGTTTCATAATAGCTGTAGAATACTGTACACATGAAAAGCAAATATGAAGGCAGATATTGTAGAAGAGCCTGTAACAACAGCTGCACTGAAAGGACTGGATACTTGAATTGTTTTTGGTGTAAACACTACCACATTAGAAACTTTCTGGTCCTCACTGAATTTCTGAGGAGGGTAGAGTGTTCTAGATCATCTCTAAGCAGTCACAGAAATGACAGTAACACTACTTGTGGTAGAATGACACCTAGAATTGTTTTTATTGTTAAACTATACTTCAAAAAGAAAACCATCCCGGGAACCAGCAGTTCACATAATGGCTATGTCGCTGGACTCCCACGTAGTCGACCACGGTTCGCGTCCCGGACCCAGTGGCTTAAAACTCACGCTGGGTGTGTGCGCGTGCGTGCCCAAGATCCCAAGAGGAGAATGGAGGAGAAGGGGTTGAGATGTT